GCAAATATGATCAAAACCATCTAATCCTCTTATAACTGCTCCTGCAGTTTGACTCCGGTGCTGCAGAGGAAAATGCCGTGATTGCTGCATTCCCACACGGCTCCACAGAAACCTCGGCTCTGGCACCGCTGCTCACTCCTCCACGCTGATTCTTTGGAAGGAGGAGAAGGTGTTTGGCTCCTTGTGATGAAGCTGAGGGTGTTTCTCAGGAAGGGGTGGAGGCCAGGAACTCCCAGGGCTGTGCTCTGCCCTCGGTGCTCATTCACTGAGCAGGCAGGATCCAGTTGAGATTCCTTCCTCACCAGAGCACATTTGAAAGCTGTCAAGGAGAATTGCTTGGAAAAAGTCCTCTTTGCTCCCTGTGCAAGCCCTGCACTTGCAGAGGAAAGCTCTTGGCCCAGCTGTGCTTGGACAGGACCGTCCAGCTTCTCCTCGGTCAGTGCGTTGGCTGCAGCAGCGTCCCTGTGTCCACAGATAACTCCAGCTCACCCATCCCACTCGGCTCCTCCAGCCCTCACAGAAGCTTTCCCAAGTGGGACTCCACACAGACCATGGATTGTAGCCAGCAGCACCAGGAGTTTCTCCAGCCTACGTTAATTCTGCCTGCACTTGAGATAACCAGTCGTGTGGAGGGATTGTTCTGGGAGATCTAGGCACATTTTAGGTGCTAAACAGATTTCCTGTGGGTTTAGTTGAGTTCTACAGAGCTCAGGCATGGAGACTGTGGAGTTGCCTTGGCACCTCATTCACACCTGTAGGTGGGGGTCTCCCCCCACCCCAAAGAGGAGCCCACCAAGGTGGGTTTCCCTCATGTGCTTGAACCCCTCTGCTGGACATGGGAAGAGGCTCCTCTTCCCAAAGAGTGTCACACATCCATGGAGACTCATAAATATTAGTCACATGTAAAGAGACACGAGGGCAGAGGGAGACAGGGAGGCAGAAGCACTTGGATTGGTGTCAAAATCATGATCTTTGCAGCCAGAAACCAAATTATGTCCCAAACTAACATTGTCCCCCAAAGCCATCACATAGGGACTGAAAATACACAAGAAAATAGCTCATTGCAGTCTCCATCCAGGAAAATTCTCCTGAAAGGCACAGAGACAGCCTGACTGCTGGCCCTGGGGTTTGGGAAGGCCCCTGCACACCCCCAACACAAACTCAGGACCTTCACAGCCCAACTCCAGCCCCTCTGAGAGCACAACCCCCCAAGGAACGTGCCAGGCCCTGCACCAGAGACCAGCACAGCCCAGGGATCTCAGGCTGGGAATAAGGCACGTGCTTAATTCAGCTCATCCTCACCCCTGCCCTGGGGCACACAAACCCAGAGAACCTCCACAACCACAAAATCAGCACATCACTGAACCTGCAAAGACCAAAATCTCCCTTTTCTGGTGAGCTCACCCGCCTCTGCTCAGAGCACAGCTCCCACCAGCCAGCAGCAAAGCTTTCCATGGTTTCCCAGCCTCTGCACAGCTCAGGAAAACCTCCCCAAAGAACCCCCACCTGCTCCAGCTCGAGCAAGGCAGCAACCCCCCCAGGTGCAGCAACTTCATAGGAGCTGTTGGCCCTGAAGAAGGTTCACCAGGGTCCAATTTCCTGGTGGGGAAGTAAACATTGTTCTCTCTGAGGTGTTTGATGTTTTTAAACCAGCTTGGGGTGGAAGGAGTTTGACTCTCCAGCTCCCTGGGAGAGGGTGGAAGGAAACCATGTGAGTGTCTTGAGGTTTGTTGTCTAACTCAATTAACCAATTACTTCCAGGTCACGAAGGGGCAAAGCTATAACTGCTGCTTGCTGCTATAAATAATGTTTGCTCAGGGGTGGTGCAGGAGCAGGAAGCTGGAGGTGTGGGGCTTTAGCTTGGAGGGAAAGCAAATATCACCAATTGCTTCCTGCTCCAGGCAAACCTGTCCCTGTTTTGGTGTTGCCCCTCAAAGGCTGGAGAGAAGCAGAGCACAGAGCTGGCTCCTGCCTTGGGGAATGTGTGCAGGAATTCAGGTGGGGAGTCAATACAGAAATGTCTCTCCTATGCTGCAAAATTCCCCCCCAATGCCCCTGGCTATCCTGATGTGGGACCTGCTGGATAAGTCTGCCTTTAAAACACAATTTTAGGCCAAAATGCCCCTTTATGTAAAAAATAAAAAAAGGGGGGGGGGGGAAGGAGGCCATGGAGAAATGGTTGTGAATTTCTCAGAGCTCAAACGAGAACAGACAAGTCGGTTGGTGCAGATCAAGGCAGGAATTTTCCAGCTGGCCTTAGGGAATTGGGCTCCAGTGAAAAGGTAAAGGAGCAGAGAACAGGTGGTGGGACAGCAATGTGGCCCCTTGGAGGGGCCTGGGCTGGCTGTGGCACAGGGAGTGAGGCTCTGGGTGCTCCAGCTGCTCGGACAGATGGACACCTGTGCATCTGTGCCTGGAGGTGACTCCGTGTTTCTTGGGCACAAACCAGGGATGTCACCTCACCCAGCACCTCAGCTCCTCAGGGAGCAGAACCAGTGGCATCAAGGGGGTTCATTTGCAGTAAGGGACAGTTTCTTCCCAAGGGGGAAAAAAACCACAGAAGTCCCTGAGACCACGTGAAACAGAGCAGGGTCAGATGTCTCACCCCAAACCGTGACACCTGCCAATCCGGCAGGAACATCCCTGAGGGAAGAGTGACAGCCAAGCCCTGGCTCACTCTGAGTTGCCCTAAACTTCCCTCCCAGCAGGGGAGCACATCCCTCTGTCCCTGGTGTCCCCTGTCACCCCCTGGAGCCTCCTCTCTGCAGTGCTGGCCTGGGAGCAGCTGCCTGAGCGAATCATCTCAGCATCCTCAGGACTCTGCCAGGGCTGTGACCCTGCTCCATCTGGGCTTCTCCCTGGCCCCTTTACACCCCACAGCCTTTGCTGAACCTCCCTTCTGGCAGGTGGGTTCTCTCCCCACAGAGGTGGCAGAGGAGGCTCCTGGTCCCTGTCCTGTCCCTGTACATAGTCTGTCACTCTGCTGTCCTGCTCCTGCTCCCTCTGTCCCAGGGAATCAGGGACCTTCTGCAGAGGGAGCAGCAGGATCCAGTGAAGTTCCCAGCAGCCCTTTGGGGAGAGCAGGTCCCTCATTTCTTGCTCCTGCTGGAGTGTCCCCTGTCCATTTCTGCCACAGAGCCCACAGGGCACGTACCCAGGCAGGTCATGTCCTACCCCTCTGTGATCCCACTCCAGCCACCCACGGCAGCACCAGCACAGACAGCAAAACCCCTTTGCTGTTCTTCTGGGGAAACGTGTGTTTCTTTCATGATTTAAGAACAAAAGGGTCTCTTTTAAGGGTTTTAACCAGAGCAGGAGCTTGGCCAGTCTCAGCTGTCCAGCGCTTGGCAGCTTTGTGGTGCTGCAGCCTCCTGCTGCGGTGACACTGAGTCACCAGAGCTGACCTGCTCTGCCAGTTGCAGATGCCAAAACTTGCCCACAGGCTGAAGTCCCGAGCGCCAACAGTTTTTCCAGACACTTGGGTGTCCGGTGATGGGTAAGGAAGAGTCATGGAATGGCTTTCACTGGGAGTTTTCCCTTCACCACAAGCCCCACTTCCTCCTGGGAAGTCTCACAGGAGCAGGAGCCCAGGGGAGCCCATTGATCTGCAGCAGTGACTGAACACCCAGACAGACACTGCAGGTTGTCCTGTCACCTGGGATGATTGTAGGAGAAGCTGGAGGGGACTCGAGGACTGAGAGTAATTTGGTTTAACACCAAGGATTCAACAATTCTTGCTTTTTCTGCATGAGCTGCCCAGAGATAATTGCCCTGCCTTATCTGCTCAGATCAGCTCAGCTGAGCCCAACCTCCCCAGCCCAAAGATGACAAAGAGCTCGTTTGGACAGCTTTGCCTTCGAGTTAGAAGACTTCAAAAATAACAAGTTGCATGTTTTGTGGTCCTCCCTGCCTTCTCCTCCCTCCCCTTCCAGTCAAACACACACAAAGAACTGCACACTGGTTTAATTTTCCATCACATTTTTTGAAAAGGAATTCCAAGATACAGTACAGCATCTTAGTGTTCTACACAAAGCAAGCCTTCAGCAAAAGGTCAGAGGATCTTAATGGTGTAAAAATATATCTTAAATAAAATAGTTTCTCTAGGAGAGCAAGCCGTGCTGTACATCATCTCTCGGTCCTTAAGAGTCATTTACAGAAGGCAGAGGCCGGGCTGTACAATCCACACATGGAAAAGTGAGTGTACATTCATGCTACAAAGTTAGAAGAGGTCCAGATTCCAGGTGGTTGGGGTAGGATCTCCAGACCCAAGCAGGGATGCCATGAGTGAACCAACACGTGCCCTGTATCTCCAGTGAGGAAATTCCACACTTCCAGTCCATCCAGTCAGGGTGGATTGTAACTACTCGCCTTTCTTAAGTCATTCTATGGATTGATTGGAACTCATCCCTTTCAACTGGCCAAAAAAAGAACCACCTCCAGCAAAAAAGGACTGGCTGTTTCATGTCTGTGTCCAGGCTAGAGCTGGTGAGCCAGAGCTGTTTCAGTGTCCCACACTAAGATCATGATTGTTCCAACGGACAAGGATCATCCTATGGGCTGGAAAGACAAGTGTGGGACTGCCCTGCCATCTCTGACAACAGATCAGCCTTTAAACACTCCCATTCTGAGCACAACCACCACCAGAACAGTCACTTCTCCAGCCAGGGGAAAGCTGCCCAACCCAGAGCATCCAGTCTGAGCATCGAAGTGAAAAACAACAAAAAACCAAAGCAAAAGAGGTTTGTCCACAAATTCCCCTTACAGGACCTGCCTACCTTTGGGGCAAGCAACATGGGAGTTCTGCCAGCTGAGATTTTGGACAGTGCCACGTTTGGGAGCAGGATCAGAGGAACTGGGAACAGCTCACAGCAAGGGGCCAGTGGTGGGCAGCACATCCAGCTCTGCCACAGACCCGGCCTGGCAGCTACAGGAATGTGGGAAGAGAGTTTGTAAAAGGCTGAGCTCATCCCTTTCCTCACCTGCTGGTTTTGAGGGTACCAACATTCCCAGTACAGCCCAGTGAGGACTGGAATGCTGGGAGCACGTTCCCATCTTCACAGGTCTCGATTTAATTTGTAGAAATACCTATAAAATAATATTAAACAGCATCCAGAACACAAAACTTCCACCCTTTCTGCCCCAAAGGTAGCACAGCAAGCACTGGCCTCTCAAAGGCCACCTGTAAAACGAAGAAAGAGATCATAGCAAAGTCCCTTAAAGCATTTAATTTCCCAGATCACGAGCCTTTAGGACTCACCTGGTTTCTTACACCACTAAGATGGTTTATTTTCCACACCTCACTCCTTTTTATTTCCAAACTACAGTTCTACTCCTGCACTGGCAGTTCTGCAGTGCCAGGACTGCCCATACAAAAAGGAGATGTATATAGTCTAATTTACACTGTTTATTAAATAATTTCTTAATTGAGAATACTTTTAATCCAGGAGAAGAACTGGAGAAGCCTTACACACTGGGCTGAGCCTACTCTACAGCATCCCTGCAGGGAATGGGATGTTTGACATGGACACACCCTCCCCACGCCAAAACCCTCTCCGAGGAAGTCAAATGCATGACAGGAGGGGCTCTGGAAAGGTGGGAAGGCAAAACGGTCATCAAGATCTGCCTAAAAAACAGCTAAATAGTGCAGTGAAATGCTTTTAAATACCACAGACACCTCCACTGACTGGCAGCCAGTTTTATGAGCAGCTCTGGAGACAATTTCTAGCTGAGCTTTAGTGGGCTGGGCGTTCCCAGCCGGAGTCCCGAGGTGAGCCGGGCCCACGCCGGCACGGCCAGTTCCAGGGTGGGAGCGGAGCGTTCCCAGGCTCATTTGCCCCTCTTGCCACGGCCTCTCCTGGAGGAAGGTTTGCCTGTGCCTGCCGTGGAGGAGCTGGCAGAAGACGCCACCGCGATGTTGATCTGTCCCTCCTGGATCTCCTGCCGGGTCTCGGCCGGGAGGTGGTTGATCTTCTGCTGTGTCTCCAGGTAAAACATGACATCCCGCAGCTGCTCCTGGATCTCGGAGATCTGCAGGTCCTTCTGCTCACAGGTCTCCTTTAACACCCTCTCCTCCTCCTTCAGTTTGTTCTGCAGCAAGGCCTGGTTTGCTCTCAAACACTTGTTCAGCTCCTGCTCCTCCTTCAGCTCATTGGAGAGTTTTGCCACCTTGTTGTTCAGCTGGGAACACCTTGCGAGGAGAAGCACAAGTTCAGGAGAGCAGCACTCCAAGCCCACACCCCACTGCAGCCTTTGTACTGGGCAACTGCCCCCAGCTCCCCCCAGACCACCTGCAGCTTGGATTTCTGGGCAAGGGGAGGCAATGAAAGACTCTGCCACGCCCCCAGGATTTTCTGTGCAGCACCTGGGTGTTACCTGCACATGGAACAGGATGCTGTGAGGCAGAATTCCTTTCTTAACTGCATAACTCAGGAGAATCCCTTCTCTGGGCAGTCAGGCAATTCCACCTCATGCCAAATGCCAACAGTGCAGGCAACAGGGAGGTGTCTGGGAGATGGGATTAACCTTGAGCACACACCTGCAGCTTTTGGAACAGGTCCCAAAAAGGGCACAGAGATTACACAGGACCCTGAGAGAGCTGAGGGCAGTCAGAGACCCCCAGACATTGGCTCTTGCCACACTCCAAGACCCTGAAGATGCCACTTCACTGGGAAGCAAGATGCTCCCAAAAGGATATCAGTAGCCTTGTGATTCACACAATTCCTGCTCCCAGCAACTCACTGCTTTTACCCTGGAAGTTTGGTGGCATCCTACAGCAACCCCTTCCCCCTCAGCAAGGGGAGCTGCACTGCCCCACCTCCCTGGCCTGGCCAGGCTGGGAGGAACGGGACACACAGTCCCAGCCAGGGGGCTGGAGCACATGGATCCCAGTCCCTGTGCTTGACATCCTTCCTCTGGGCAATCCCCAAGATCTCCATTTTCCTCTGTGCTGGGTGGTGCCTCTGCTGAGCTGCCTCTCATCCCTTTGGATGCATCTGCCAATGGCAGGACAGGCTGGCATCTACCTCAGAGCAGGGGGAGGAAGGAACCCTGGAGCAGGGAGAGGAAGGATCCCCGAGTGCTAAATATGCAGAGTGTGTAAAAGGAGCTGAGAACCCCAAAGCTGCTCACAAAACAGGCACTTCCCCTATGGGAACACCTACAGAAATCAGAGCTTTTTTTAAAGCAAGCCATGTTCTCAGTATTCCAGCTTAAACAGCTCAGAATTGCCCAGGAATAGCAGGATTTTTTTCCTTTTTGGATGGCAGTGTGCAGCACTTTAATGGCTGCCTGGAACTGAACCTGGCAGCGGTACCCACTTCCTCTCCACAGACTGCTTTTCTTTGAGCAAGTCATTGAGCCGCTGTTCCAGACTGTCACACTTCTCAATGGTCTCTTTAAATTTGGTCTTCATGTTGTTAATCTGTAAAAACAAACACAGGCATTTCAACCAGCTCAAAGTCCGCTGCACTTTCATCAGGACACTCATTTCTCTGGAGCGGTTTCCAGACTTTGGCCAGTTCCTCTCCCCAGGTGAGGGGAGCTCTGAGTCCAGGCTTCATTGTGCTGGAGACCCCCCAGTGTCCCACTGGTAGCCCAGACAAGCAGCCACGTTGCCGTGGAAGCTGCTCACACAAAGCAGCAACTCGGGCTGAGAGCTGTGCCAGGATCACACAAAGGCTGCAGCAGATCCTGAACTTCTCCCTGCCTGCAGCAGCCATTCCTTCAGCCATTCCCTCGTGTTTCTGGCTCCGCCAGCAAACTCTAATTTCCACCTCAAGTTGTTACAAGGCCGAGTTTTTGCTCATTTCAAACCAAACCTCAAGGAAATGTGGTCAAAGTGTGGAGATGAACAGGCTCCCCTGCTCAGCACTGACTCAGCAGTGCTGTCATAAGGCAGTGACCCACTGACACCAATATCTTACTCATGCAAAACACAAACACAAACACTCCTTTCTCAGCTTCCTCTTCCTCTGCTGCCCCACTCCAGGTGCTGCTGCTGGAGAAAGCCAAGCTCTCCTTCTCCAGGTGCAGCACTGAGCGTGTCAAACCCCCAAGATGACACTTCCAGGGGATTTAGAGTCAGGAATACTTGATTCCCCCATATCAGTGTCTACAGCACGCTGTGGGGTAGTGGAGGCAGGAATTTAAAGGAAAAGTGCTTTCCTGGAGGAGCAATGTGGAGCCATCTCAGCGTCAGCACACACGGTGCAGTCACCGGTGCCTCAATGGATGCAGAGCAGGTTTTAAGCCTTCCAGCCCTAATCAGGAAATGTTTGTGCAGCTGATGGGTAATTTGGGGAAGTAGCCTGAGCACTGATAATGGAATACACTGCATGGTGGCACCAATCCAGACAAGACTTACACGGAGCAAGTGCCATGAATAAAACTGTTGGGATCTTTAATCGTGGAACCGCATTTGGGGAATGGATCAGAGTCATTTCACTTTGAAGTTCTTTGTGGATCATGTTTCTGTGCAAGATTATTTTTGATATATATTTTCCTTCTGTAAGGTTCTCCTTAAGATTCCCAGGACTGTTCTTTAGGACAAGGTCAGTGACCACTATTTCAACGGTCACAATTTCTGTGTTTATTTAACTGCAGGTACTAAATGGTCAATTAGAAGTCATGTGGAAAGTTAAGGACTCAGTTCTAAATCCTGACTCACTTTAAACCTACTCCAAAGGATCTACGTAGAGTGAAAAAGCAGTAAAACATCCTTGCTGGATTTTTGCCGGTGACATTTTGAAGCAGTCCTGCCTCCAGAATGCTTTAGAGGAGGAGACTGAACTTTTCCCAAAGGGTGAGGTGGAGAGAGAAGAGGGGATCAAAAAGAAAGGGCAAATCAATATGCATTTGGAGCAGAGAGACAGCTCCCACCTCCTGCAGCCGAGCAAATTAAAGTCATATTGTCTCTGCTACACCAACCTTCCCCGGAGAGCCGTGTCAGGGAGACGGATGGCACCGGCAGCCCGGGATCCTGCAGCACCACGGGCTGCCCTCCCCTCTGCTGCAGTTTCCCCAGCAGCACATTTAAATCACCCTTCAATCTCGGTGCAATCTACCTGCTTCTGCACCACTGAGCAGCAAATTGCTGGCTGTGAGCAGCCAGAGGAGGGACAGACACATCCCGGAGCCAATTTTCCCAGCTGGGAGCAGGACAGGCTGAGCGAGGCCACGTCACACACCAGGGACCCACCAGCTCCTTCCCTCTCCCATTTGCCAGTGGCCAGGGCCCTGCACAGCTGCCCAGGGCAGAGCTCACCTCTTCAGCTGTGTCCTTCTCTATCCGGACAATCTTGTTTTCCCAATAGATCCGCTGGGATTCCAGCTGGCTCGTCAGCAAATAGGAATACTACACAGGAGGGACACAGAGCAGTCAGGGGGGCTGTGCTGATCAGAGGCCTCCAAAACCCAAGTCAATTTAATCAGATGAAATTGAGCAGAAAGAAGGTTCTGGACACACATCCCCACTGCACCTCCAGCTGATGCTGGAGGCTTCACCGGTTTGATTTCACAATCAAATCACTTGTTTTTTTGAAATCAAGGAAAGCCTTCAGAGCACGAGGATCAAGTGAAAGTTCTGCTGAGCTGAACCCCTTATCAAGGCAAAGACTATTGAAGGAGGAGACAGATTGTTTTCGTGGGAGTAGCAATAAATCTCTACAAGAAAATGAAGCTTCACCCAACCCTGTCGTGAGAGTCTGAGATCCCAAAGGCTGAGGGGCAGAGTTCCCATTCACAGCCCCAACAAATCCAAGGCAGGAGGGTCAGTGCACGTGCCCAGCTTCCCTAGAAGAAGGTCTCTGGCAAAGCACCCTCAACTCCGTGTAAATATTCCCAATCTCCAACATGGATGGCCCATTCCAATGTCATTTTGGCATCTGAATAAGGAGATGCCTTCTATCCCATCTTTTCCCTGCTGGTTCTGCAAATGAGTTATGAGAAGGTTGGAAAACCTGATCATTTCTTATCATCAGGCTAATAAGCACCAAATTAGCCATTCACTGCAGAATTAAACATGCACAAAGCCCTGATCACTCTCAGTAATTTCTGAGTGCCAACATGCACTGCCAAATTCATTCTGTCTCAAATATTTAGATCTCATAAGACAGAGAGATCTTACATGCTTGAAGCAACAACCTCCCAGAAAAAAGGGTTAAAATTAGCTGGTTTAGCATCTGAGTGTTATTCAGAAAATTCACTGAAAAGCAACCAAATATTTATCTGAGCAATGAGCTGCTCAAGTCTGGTCCCTGTGGGCTGTTCCTCCTCACATCCCCTCGTGTCTAATGCGGCTGAAATGGTGCTGCAGTGCCTGCTCAGTGAAGCAGGGATTTCTCCTTTAGTTAGGAGAGAAGCTGGGCAACAGGTACTGAAAATAAATAAATCATTATCTGTTCAAAAGGAGGGAACAGAACAGGGCTGGTGTCAGACAAGCCTGTCAGCTTTGCCGGCCAAGGATTCCTACAGCCTGGTTCAGTTTAGGAGCTAAGCTGCTCTAACTGACAGATCCACACAGATCCTGGCTCTGAACCCTGGTCACAGATCCACTGGGAAGGGTCTGGGGGCTGACTCAGACTCATTTCTCCCTCCAGTGACCTGAGTGTTTGCAGCAGCACAACCAGCTCATCTTCAATCCAGTGACCACAGGACGACACTGCAGCTCACACGGCGCTGCATTGGCTCTGCAGAGCCAGGGAAGGTTTAAAAAAAAAAAAAAAAAAAAAAAAAAAAGGAAGGAAAAAAAAAAGAGCAGTAAAGCCATTCCTGCCCCTGCCTGGAGATGATTCCCTCCAGGCAGGGAGCAAGGTCTGCTGTGTAAGCTGATGGGGATTGAACCGTGGTCGTGTCAGGGTTTGAAACACTTCCCCACAAAAGAGCACAGCACGTCAAAATATTTACCTCTAATTGTAAGGCATCAATTTTCTCCTCCTGGCACATGTCCCCCTCACACTCGTACTGAACGATCTTCCCATCAGTTTTACTGGCCACCAGCCGATGGACGTAGTTGTCTGAGGAGAGGAGATCCAAGCACTTGGAGCTGAGGGGCGCCCGGGCTGCCCCCAGTCCTGCAGCACAATTAACCCCCCACACTCTGCACCAGCACCTCGGGGAGGCACAGAGCCAACCTCACATGGGCTTGTTCTTCTCCCAGCCGCCTCACAGGGTATTTATTCCAACAGCCCATTCCCACACCTCAGGGAAAACGGATGGAAAGGGAGTGACAAACACATTCCAGTCATGTTCTCCCTCCTCCATCTGCTCCAGACCTACTAAAGCTGCTCTAAGAGCAGAGATGAATGTTCCCAATAGACAGGGATTAGTGCAGACACAAACTCCTTCATCTCCAGGCAAACTCTGCCCCCAAGGGGTCCCAAGAGCTGTCCCCAAGCCAGGTGGCCCCGCAGGAGGGCCGGGGAGCTCTCACCTCCAGCGTAGTCCCAGACCCTGTGGTTGGTGAGCTGCATGGCGTAGGTGTGCTGGGTCTCCTCGAAGTGCTTGTAGGCGTGGCGGCTGACGTAGCGCCCGCAGCCGATGTGCCCGCAGATCAGACAGATCCACAGGTTCTGCCAACACAGGGAAAGCTCTGTGGGTACAGCACAGTCACCTGGGGCACCCTGGGGAAGTGTGATCCCACCTCCCTGCCCCGCTGGTGCTGTGCAGTCCCTCCCTCGGGGAACCAGCAGGGTTTGCTTTCCCTTTCCTGCTCCTCTGGAAGGCCAAAGAGAAGGGGGTCCTTGCTCACTGGAGACAACTCAAAAGGAAGCTGATAACCCCCTGACTGGTAAAATCAGCCACAGAATTACCCCCCAAAGCAGCCCAAGAAGCTGTGCAGTCAGATCTAGTCTAGATCTCACTCACCATCCACCCACCTACTTACTTCTTGAACTCCACACTCAAAGCACTTGTTCTCTTCCACAGGCTCTGGTGTCTGGCAGTACCTGCAGACAGGGCACCTGGGGGGCAATAAAGCATTGTGATGAGACACAGGGAGCTCCATCCTCATCTTCCAGGAATTAAACACAGCCAGAGAGCTCCAGGGAGTGCCTGGTGCAGCGGGATGCTGTATCCCCTGTATCCCCCATCTCTCAGTTCACGTTCACCCACTCAAATTGACCTCCATTCCACACAAGGTCACTGCTTTTAGGCTGACGAGTGACAAAAGAACAAAGAACAGTTCTCCCAAAGCCATTTCACAGGTTCAGCTGGATCTGGCTTAGCTGCAGTCCAAGCACAAAGAACATCTTCAAACACGAGCATGTTGTAGCTACACCCTGCTGAGAACAGCCAAGTGATGCTCCACAAACACACCTTAGTGCTTGAACAACCTGAGGAGATGCCTCAGTTCCACCCCAACCCAAGGGATTTGGTCTCAGCCTTCCCAGGCAGAACACCCCATAACTGTACCCTAAAGGAATCAGCAGCAGGCATTCCTTTTGGATCCACCAAAGATCCAAGAGGTCTCTCATCCCTTTTGGAAGTACCTCAGTGCTGCCAGAACACCCAAGAGCAGAAGGAACCTGTCCAGACCCGGAGCACCAGCAGCTCAGCTCAGCTCGGGGCAGCTGAGGCTGCATCTGCTGCCAGGACTGTTTATGTATTTTTCATTAGCTGCTGGATAAGCCACAGAACTATTCCAGGGAGGAGGCAACTGGATTGCAGTCAGCTTTCTGTGCAAATTCAGGCATTTACAGCCTCTGTGGCGCCTGAGCAAGGACAGGGATTTTCCTTTATGGTTCTCTGAGATGGGGAGCGTAAGTTCTGCTTAAATTGTATAGTACATGTTTAAGTGCTGTTTTGGATCTTGCCCCTGCACTGGCTAAGCTCCATTGCTTCAGATTTAAACTGGTTTTGATTTGTGAGCAAAGCAGCCCATCAACTTGCACAGCTACACATCTGATCAGTGGCACTGGGGTTCTGCTGCTTTGGCTCACGAGTGATGGACAGGGAGGTAAAATCTTCCTCACAGTCCATCAGAGAATCAGGCATCAGGGTCCCAGGGACAGAGCAGGCACAGGGAAGATGTGCAGCCTCCTGCTGCAGTAGCTGTGACTGCCTGAGGTGCAGCAAACAGTGTCCAGAGGAATACAAAACGTGTCCAACTCTGAGCAGCTGACTGGGTGCCAGCTGGGGGCTCCAGGAATGCTGAAATTCCCTCCCCAGGGATGTGACGGCTGGTGGGAGCATGAACAGGGAAGGGTTAACGCAGCAAGAGGAGCTGCTTTAAGGACAGACTCAGGTCTGACCCCCAGCATTGCCCAGTGCCATGGAGAGTCTCCACATGCAGGGCACAGCCCTCCATCCCTCATCCCACACCCACCTGGAACAACAGCCTGTGTGGAGCCTCCCCTGCCTGATTCACTGAGTGACCTTGTCATCATTCCTTCCCTCCTTGCCTTCTCCTTCCCAGTCCTGTCTCCCTGCACACCTGCTCTTGCCCAGCTCCTCCTCCTCCCCTCCCAGCATCCAGGCAGGAGAGAAACCTGCAGGGCTGCTCTAAGGGCCCCTCAGCTCCAGGCAGGTGTGCAGATCCATCTTTTTTAGGGATAACTGAACTGACAATGCTGAGTGAAGAGGACTGTGTGTGCACTCAGTGCTGTTTACCCCAGCACTTTTATCCTGTATTTTGAAATAATCAGCATTACTCTACAACTCCCTCCCTGCCTCAGCAGCGAGGCCCCCGGGAATCATTGTTCAATTACTTTTGGCAAGGAGATTCCTCCCTGGGAGTCTCTTAATGGGAAAACAAGAGCATCGGGCCTTGCAGTAATTCCTGCCCCCACTCTGATGAGCAGTGCCTTGTCAGCACAAACCCATCACACTCAGAGGAGGCTTTGGGGTGTGGGAACGAAGCAAAGCCCCTTACGTGGTGTCCTCCCAGCGCTGCAGGCACTGGCTGTGGAAGCTGTGGTTGCACAGCGTGGTCAGGATCCCGTTCACCGACTCGTCCATCCTCTCCAGGCACACGGTGCACTTGGGCAGCTCTGTGAGGTCCATCACGGGCAGGCTGGCCCCCTGCAAGGCAACAACAGACTGCTCAGCACCTGCCAAGCACCGGCAACCAAGCCCAGCTTCTCTCTTGCTGGCACCAGGGATCCCAAACGCGACACAAAGCAGGTGGAAATTTATCTGAAATAAAGTGATCCCCAACATTCAACCGGCCACAGCCACATTCCTCTGCACAGCACGGGCACAGTGAAGGTCCACCAGCCCCACTGTGCTCTAGGGGTTCGCTAAATGACAACATGAGGCAGGTTTAGGTCAGAGACAAGGCATAAAACCCACGGAATTACCACACAGACTCTCCCAAGGACACTGGAATGGGAAGCAAGGTTTGGGTTGATGCAGCTGAGCTGTTCTTGCAGTGTTCTGCCCCAGTCCAAATCACCCTCTTAAAATCCCCTGAAGTGCAGGGAAAAAACCAGACCAAACTTACATCTTCTGATTTGAAGACTTCAGCCCTTTCCACGTACACCAGCTGGCAAACATCCTCCTCGATGGAGTTGAACTGGCGGCCGTTGCAGGCCATGTAGAAGCTGTCGGCATCAGCCTGGGCACAGAGCAGGGGAAACCGGTTAAAAAGGGAAAACTCACAGCTCACACAACCCAGGAAGAGGAGGAGGAACCTCCTGTAGCCTCCCTTCTCCCCTCACCCAGCCCTGTAACACCACGGGAGGGATTTCGGCTCCAGGCATTGTGTTTTGGCATCACCACTGGAAGACACGAAGTGAAGTCCAGGGCAGTGACAGCTATGCTGATATGGGATCATTCAGCAGGAATGAGGGATTTCCCTTCACATCTGTTTTGCCCCTTGTCAGCAATTTCAGGGCATTTGTAAAGCAGATTTGGTCTCTGCAAAAATTGAAGAGGGACGCGGTGCAGGACGGTGATGACAGGGAAGGGAGCAACAGCTTAACTGTGGGAAAGAGTCCATGTCACCACCCACAATCCAGTCAAAAGAGGCAGAACCAAACCAAACTCTGTCAAATTCATCATCCCTTTGCACTCAGTAACTCCCCAAACCCTTTTTCAACACAGGATTGAGGCAATGAGCTGAATGCCACATTCCCAGACTCCTGGTCATTCCAGCCAGAAGCATCAAGGCCCTGGAGATTTGTTTTGCCACCTGCAGGCACAGCCATTAGGGGTCAACAGAGCTCCAAGGAAATTTCCTCAGAAACAGGAATTTCAGGGTGAATTGAGCACAAGTTCAGGGATTTGCAGCATTAGATATTTGCCTGTATAATGTGGTACAGTAAGGGACAAAAATCAACTTTGTAACTACTTCAATTAGCACAAACTCACACAAATATTCCACGTGCACAAGGGGCATGGGAAGCATCTCAGGCAGCACTCACAGCTGGGGGAAACCTCTCCCTGAACCCCAAAAGATGGAATTAGCATTTGGGAGAAGAGAATGTACTAGTGGAACGGTTCACACAGGAACTGGAGGGGGGAATTTAAGGCCACACAGTTCAGGAAACCTGTAAGCAGCAAACTGTGTTATGTGGGTGTCAAAGCACCCCAGGGGCTCTCACTTTGGGGGTGACTGTCCTCTCCACACTGGCAGTGGCTGGGAGACCACCCAGCTCCTCAGAAAAGCAGGAAAGGTCTTTCCTGAAACACAGGGAGCCCCAGTGGCTGGTTCCTTTCTGTTCAGCACAGCACAACACACCCCTCTGAGTAGGCTGTGAGACAGCAGAGAACTCCCTGTCTGGGCTATTTTTAATAAAATATCCTGCCAAGACAAAGCAAGAACACCACCAAGAAAAATCACAGTGAGAACAGGGCAGGTACTCTCCTCCAGGTGTGGGACTGACCTTAGCAGCCCTGGGAATTCCCAGGGAACAGGGACAGGGCTGTTTGCCTGTGGGTGAGTGCAATCCTGGCTGACATCTGACCAGTGAAGCCACATAGACCCCCTGAACAGTGACAGCCCAGCCAAGGGGCTCCCAGCTCTTACCTGTGAGCTGAACTTGATCAGCACCATGTACTGGTTTGGGGTGGAGTCTCTGATGATTTTCATGTGCTCAATCACCTCGTAGAAGGAGGCCACAAACTTCATGAGGTCGTGGCTGGTCATGGTGGCCGGGACAGTGAGGATGCAGAGCATGGCACTGCGCTGCACATCCTCCTTCAGGGAGGTCATCTTGCTGGGGACACAACAGGGACACCTCAGGGGGGGTGAGGGCACAGCTGGACACACCATTCCAACTGCTGCAGTCACTACAGGACTTGTTATCAACCTTAACTCTCTTCTGTAAATGTTGAGAGGGGTTGTGGTGAACGCCCAGTGCCCCCCACGTGAAACAGGCCCAGCCATCCTTCAGCCAAGGATTGAACTGGGCAGCTCCAACCGCAATGGGATTGCCAGGAATGACTGAACATCTGTTTTGCTATAAAAGCAGCTGAAGTTGCCCAGCCCCAGGTGCTCAGCACTGCTCCCAGAACAAGGGAGCAATGTTTGTTACTATTTCCAGTGCCCTTTTGGGGGTTCCTGGTGGCTTCCAGGAAGACCTGAAATGGGAGTTCTCACACAATTAGAGGGGAATGGTGTGGAATTACAGGATGAAACCTCCTGCTCCTCAGGCAGCTCCTCCGGCCTGTCACCAAGGCACCAGAGATCACGATTAACTCGTGGGATCCCTCAGGAAGCTGCTTTCAAACCTTATTTTTTTTGGAATCTGTGTTTGTCTTGCGCTCTTACAGCCCCCAGCACAGGCTCCCAACACCCCCAGTGTCACCCACTCAGCTGTGTCACCCAAGCTCCACCATCAACCCCAGGCACGCTGCGCCCTCCCAGGAGGAGTCACCCTTCCTGTTTGTCCCCTTCAGGAGCCACAGCCCCGGGGTGACAGACTCACCCTTCCCAGGAATCCACCCTTACTTTGTTTTGTACAGGTGCATAATTCCATGGACGATTTCCACCGAGGGGTTCCCGCTGAAGAAGGAGATCTGGTCAGGGAGCTGCTTGGAGGGGGAGTCTGGAGCAGCCTCACGCTCCTTGCTCTGCTCCTCCTGTTTGGTTTTGTCCTCAGCAGACGCAGCCTCTGAGGATTTCCTTCCTTCCACGGCAGCTTTGGCTTCATCTTTCACAAACCAAGAGTTTCCTGGTTACTGAGGTGTTGCTGTGCCCTGAGCACAGTCTGTGTTCACACAAAGCACAGCCCTGGGGAGCAGCAGGATGAGATTCCCCTCATCCCTGCTGGATGAAAGGGACACTCCAGAGCTACAGACACCCCGTGGGAGCCCCAGGATTGAGCTGGAGGAGGTTTGTCCCGTGCCCAGTGACATCCCAACAGGCACCAGTATGAGCACAAAGCAACTGGGGCAGCTTTGCTGAGCAGGGGAGGAGTGGGAGCTCCTGCTGTGCACCCTGGATGTGTGTCAGACTTGGTGCTCCCATCCTTAAATCCCTCCCTGCCAGGGAAATGAAACATTTACAGAGCAAATGGTCTCGTTGCTATGGGCCAGGGATGCTGGGGAGCAAAACACGGGCCAGTTGTGGCACAGCCTGGAAGGAACTAAACCTCTGTGGAGTGAACCAGGGAATATCCTGAGCTGGAGGGGACCCACCGGGTCCCCTCCAGACCAACTCCTGGTCCTGTCCAGACACCCCAACAATCCCACCCTGTCTCTCAGAGCATTATCCAAACTCTCCTGGAGCTCTGGCAGCCTTGGGGCCGTGACCATTCCCTGGGGAGCCTGTTCAGTGCCAACCACCCTGTGAGGGAAGAACCTTTTCCTGAGATCCAACCTGACCCTGCCCTGACACAGCTCTAGACATTCCCTCAGGTCCTGTCTCTGCTCACACCGATCAGAGGAGCTGCCTCTCCTGAGGAAGTTGTGGATTGGGATGAGCTCGGTGGGAGGTGTTAGCCAGGATCAACCAGCTCTGCCCCCGCACCCAGCGCACACTCCTGAACTCCTCAGCTTGTTTTCCGAACTGCAGGGCCGGCTCCAGACACGCAAACCCCGCAGCCCCCTCGAGCCCCCCAGCCCGGGGACAGCCCCTCGGTACCTGCGCGGGGCCGGATAGTCTCGATGATCACGTCGGTCATCTCCCGCCGCCCCAGGTGCTGATGCAGGATGGCCGCGCGCTCCCCGGGGCCCTTCCCCTGCAGGCAGGCGGGCACGGCGGCGGGGGCCGCGCCGGTGCTCTCCGCTGCCATGTCCGGACCTGCGGGCACAAACCGGGCGTTGGGCCGGGCCGGCGGCGCGGGGCCCCGGTAGCGGCGGCGCCCCGAGGGGGCCGCGGGCACGCACCGGCCGCGCTGTAGGCGAAGCCCTTGGGCAGCGGGGAGGCCCCGGCCAGCTCCAGGCGGATCACGACCAGCGACACGCTCATGGGCCCGGCTCCAGGCGGATCAGCACCGGGACACGCTCACGGGCCCGGCTCCAGGCGGATCACCACCGGGACACGCTCATGGGCCCAGCTCCGGGCGGATCAGCACCGGGACACACTCATGGGCCCGGCACCGGCACCGGCGCCACCGCCGCTTCCGCCTCCGCCGCGCCGCTCGCCGCGTGACGTCACCGCGCCCCGACGTCACGGCGGCGGGGCCGGCACCGGCAGCGGCGGAGAGAGACAGGGGGCTGAGGGGCCGCGGGGGGTCTCGCGAGAGGCGGGTATGTTCTCGCGAGACGGGGGAGCCCCCGGAGTGGCGGGGCCGGGGTTGGGGACAATCCCGGGAATTTGGGGTGGGAAAGAGCTCCGGGAGCGTCGAGGCCGACCTGGACCCAGCACCATCTTGTCACCAGAGCACGTTCCTTGGACACCTCAAGGGACAGGGACGCCGCCACCTCCCTGGGCAGCCCCTTCCAATGCCCGACCACCCTTTCCATGAGGAAATCCCTCCTGATGCCCGACCTGGACCTGCCCTGGCGCAGCTTGAGGACGCTTCCTTCTGTCCCTGTTCCCTGGAAGCCCCACCCGCTCCAATTACCGATTAGCAATTAGTGTGTGCCAGTCATTAGCGAACAGCTCAGTGGCTGCCCAGGGTGGAGTCCCCAAGTCCCCATCCCTGGGAGTGCCCAAAACACGAGTGGAGGTGGCACTTGGCCATAAGGATGAGTGAGGCTGGTGGGGTTTGGTCAGAGCTTGGACTTATTTTGGATGTCTCTTCCGATCCTAACGATTCCATAAACAAACATTCACCCCTCGGTTTCTCTGTCTGTGCCCTGTTCTCTCTCCTCTGACCAGGCCAGCTGTGAGTTTCCCTGGAGCCCCCCTGTGTCCCAGGATGTTCCTGAGGAGCTCTGCCCGTGCCCTGCTCTGTGTCAGGATCCAGCAGCTCCCACAGAGGCTGATCCAGTGCCACGGGTCCAGACGGGGCCGTTACAGGGCTGTGATCTTTGAGGAGAGCGGGGTCCTGCTCCCAGACCCCCCCAGCACAGCCACAGGTGTGTGTGTGCTCCCAGTCCTGAGCCCAGAGGGTGTCCTGAGTTGGGAGGGACCCACAGGGATCGCCCAGTCCAACTGCTGGTCCTGCACAGACACCCCAACAATCCCCCCCGTCCCTCAGAGCGTTGTCCAAACTCTCCTGGAGCTCTGGCAGCCTTGGGGCTGTGACCATTCCCTGGGGAGCCTGTTCAGTGCCAACCACCCTGTGAGGGAAGAACCTTCTCCTGAGATCCAACCTGAGCCTGCCCTGGTTCTGGTGAGACACCCCAGGTGATGAGGATGGGACCTGCTGTGCCATCACAGGTCGCAGAGGTGACAGTGCCCACCCTGACCCCACCTGGTAACAAAACTGTCCTGTGGTGTCACCAGCTGATACCACCCACGGTTGATACCACCCAGTCCTTGAGCACCTTTAGGAACCCTCCAAAGATACCACACCAAAAGCAGGGATGGGGAGCTGCAGTTCCTGGAATGCCCAAACTCTTCCCTGTGTGCTGGGTCCATCACCCCAGTCCAGCACATCCATCCTCGTGGGCGATGGATCCACCACAGAGGGTTCCAAGCTGATTTCCCAGTTCTGAAGATGCCATTCCATGCTCTTCCCTGGCTTTTTCACTTCTCTCCCTGTAGACTGGGAGACCCAGAGTTGTATTCCAGCTGGCACCATCCAGCAAGCCCTGCTGTCCGGAGGGGAGAACAGTCTCTCCCAGAGGTATTCCAGAGGGGAGCTGACAGCTGTGGAGTTCCTGCAGGAACTGGGACAGCAGTGCTTTGAGATTGTAAGCCAATCCCCCCTCCTCCTCTCCTTGTGCTTCCTGGCTGCATGGAAACGGGCTGCTGTGGTGGTTCAGTGAGGAAAAAGGAGCTTGGAAGAGAAATCCTGTGCTGGAAAGGTCTGGATTTTCCATCTAGGAAGCCTTGCTGTCTGAGCAGGGCAGATTTTCACTGCCACCATCACCCTGGTACCCAGGCAGGGCAGGCAGATGAATTTGCCTTAATTTCCATCAGCTTCTTTCGTAACTTTCTGATCTCAAGACAGCTCTTGGATCAGCCCAGGTGAGAAATCAGAGTCAGGAAGCAGCTGGGAGGCTTTGGCTGTCAGTTCATCCATGGGCAGGAGGGATGGAGGCCATGGTCTCCAGGGATGGTTCTCAGATCAGTAGAAGCTCCTCCACCAAAGCCCCAGGGGCACAGAGCAAGAATCCTCTTGGAATAACGTCCTTCTGAAACAGCTCAGTGTAAACTGCAGGTTCCTCCCCTGCTTGCTGAGCAGTCAGCCAGTGTTTGTCTCTACCCTGCCTTGATCCCATGGCAGGCACAGCCCCAGTGCATTTCCCTTTCCCAAAATCAGCCCTTTATCTCCTCTGCTGCCTCTGCAGAATCAGTACTGTGAGAACACTTGTTTATTTGGGCAAAGCTGAGAGACCCCCTGCCTGCCTTCTGCTGCCAGAGGAAGTAGGACAGCAAGATGAGATGATCAGACCACCTACCCACCCAACCACTCTTTATTTTCATCCCTCCTTAAAAACCATTTATGGCTAATTATCATTCCTGGGGTTTCTCTGCTTTCTCAGGCAAATGTCCGTGTTCCAGTGCACTCTTTTCTGTGGGACTTGATCCGGGCTGAGATGATGAAACAGCTCCCCACGATGGCAGAAGCAGCTCGGTGTGTCCGGGCACAAGGGCTTAAGACAGCTCTGCTCAGCAACACCTCGTGCCTGGGGAAGGGAGGGAGGTTCCTGCCCCTGGATCGACAGCACTTTGACGTGGTAAGGCTGGATGGATCCTAAATGTGGCTCTGCTCCTCAGGCTCGAGCTGGAATTCTTTCCGTGCAGGCACTGAGCGAGCAGCACCAGCAGCAGGTGCAGGCAGGTGGACAGCAGTGTAAGAGCCTGGGAAAACCTTTCCTGGCATCATTCACTGCAGGGACTGGAGAGGGGCTGAGTGACTCTGGAAAATGAAAGTCTCTGTGTAACAGGCACAGGCAGTGATTTCAATATAGGACCTGGAAGCTGGGGCACCATACAAAAAATAAATGTTATTACCCAGTGCCCCTGCTTGCTTTAAACCAAAAAGCTTTAAAAGAGTAAGGGCTCTTCAAAGAATTCCAAAGCATCCCCTACACTACAAAAAAACCCCGACATGCCAATCTGTGTGAGCTGAGGAGCAGGAAGAGACCCCTCTCCCAGCACAGACCCCAGCAGGGCCCCTCTCCCAGCTGAGTCTCCTCTCCCAGCACAGACCCCTCTCCCAGCAGAGCCCTCTTTCCCGACACCCCTCACCTTTGCAGAGATGACACAGAAGATTCTCTATGAACCTCAAGGCTGGTTCCATTTTCATGTGAGGACTCAGCTCAGCATGACAGCAATTTTTTTTTCCGTGTGCCCTGCTCAAATCTTTGAATTTCAGGACTTTAAGGCTTGTTTTATAACCTTGATTAAGACAACAAAATAGGCAAGGAAGAGTCACATTAATGCATTTAAAACCTGGGACTGTTTACAGTCATCCTGTCAACATTATGCCATTACTGGCTCAGCTTTCTGGGTGTTGCTGGTGACAGTGATGCAGAGGGGGGTGATGGTGTGATGTCTGTGTGATTGTCATCACAGGACATTTCAAAGCACTTCAGTAACCTCTCCATGTCACAGCCCGCGTGGTGTGTGGTGCTTTGGAACAGCAGTTAGTGGGGAAAAAGTAACTGAATGTGGATTTCCATTAGTGTTGGCTTCATGTCCATCCAGTGGATTCATTTTTATTCCTGGAGTGTTATCAAAGCAGGGAGGAAACACTGCTTGGATTGCTCGTGGTCGTGAAGGCTCAGAGAGCAGGGTTTTGATCCAGATTTGGGTGGATGGTTGTGGTCAACACCTGGGCTGCTGTCAGGGTTGCTTTGGGGTGGTTGGTGGGTGCAGTGGTCAGGACACTTTTCCGGAGCCTTTGGAAGGTGCTGCCATCCAAGGCTTCCTCGGACAGCACTGAGCAATTGGCCTGGGATACCCAGCGAGTCTCCCACTGGGGACATCTCGTTGGATATCTTCCATCCAAGGACTGGCTGATCCTGTTCAGCTGATTTCAGCTGAAGAGCCACAGCCAAGGCAGTTGGCACCCACAAAGTCACTGGAATGATGTCCCATCCGGCTGCAGGCCCTTGTTCCATGTCCTTCATTCCTCATGTTAATTAGGCTGGCAGTCTCTTTCCCATCTTCATTTCCATTTCCCACCCTCCCATCTCCATTTCCATTTCCCACCCTCCCATCTCCATTCCCAACACTGCACAGCTGTCTGTGGTCCCAGCAGGCTCATCCATAATCCATTTGGTGTTGCTGTAGGTGGTTGAATCCCATCAGGAAGGAATTTGCCGGCCAGATCCCGGGATCTACAGGCTGTGCCTGGAGCGCTTGGGAGTCCAGCCCCAGGAATCCATTGTCCTCGACAGCAGCAGCCACAACCTGGAGGCAGCAGCCCAGCTTGGCATGAAAACGGTGAAGGTACAAAGGAACTCATCCAGGGTAGGATTTAGGGGTGGATTTGGAATCCAGAAGCTGTTTGGCTTGAACGGCTCCATATTTTCAGCGGCAGTGCCCGACTCGTCTTGCCGACCCTTTTGTTCCATCCTGTCTTTGTTCCTGCAGGATGTGGTGGGGTTAAAGTAGGGATTACTGGCAGGGTCTGCACTGCTCTGTTTCATTCCCAGCTCCAAACCCTACAGCCAGTGGAACCTTGGAGAAGTCGCTTTTCCTTTCTGTTCCTCGGTTCCCTATGGAAGAAACAGCCCCTACCCTACGGCTCAGCCAACTGCATCCACCTGAGGGGAGAAAATAAGCCCTGTGTAATGAATTCCTGGGAGCTCTGAGGCCTCAGGGATGTGCCAGGCTTTGGAAACAGTGAACATGGGGGGTTTTACTTCAGTGAGAGGAAGGACAAGAGTGGGTCTGGTGGAAAGAGTGAACTCTGCTCCCTTGGACAGCACACTGGGAATTCCAGCCCTTATCCCAAGCTCACAGTGCCTATGCCACCATCACAGGCACATGTTCAGGACAGAGACCAAGGCAGGAAACTCCACGTTGGCAGGGAATGACGTGTGAATTCCCGTGTGTCTGTGAATCAGGGAATGACCTGTGAATTGCTGAGTCAGTGGATCAGTGCCATTGGACTCAGATAAATGCATCACAACTCTGCAGGGCTCTTTCTTTCCCAGAAAACTTTATCCTCCACCAGTGTTTCTCTCTCCCTCCTGCTTTCAGGTTGATGATCCAGAGGCAGCACTCAAGGAGCTGGAAACCCATCTGGGATTTCCTCTGCGAGGGTTTGTCCCCTATACTCGCTCAGTCAGACCAGGCATGGAAATCCCAAAGGATCAACTGCAAAAGTACCTTGAAAATGTTCTGGGTGCCCACCCAACAGGTATCACAGTGGGTTTGGCCCTTTAGCTGGAAAGCCTGGATATTCTGGAGTCACTGGCTTTTTCCATCATGTGACAAATGGATTCAAAAGTAATGTTAATGAAAGGCTCCTTATTTCCAAACAGAACAGGCATCCATCATTTCAGTGACCCATCAGTGTTTCCCAGAAGTGGGAAACAACATTTTTAGGACTTCCTCATTTGGAGGGGGTTGAGCACAAGTTGCCAAAGAGATGCCAGGAATATTCCTGTCCTGTAAGCCATATATGAGCTGCTCCCAGGGGTTTGGGACACAAAGTGGGATCTCAGCCCCAGGTGCAGGAAGGGGCTGGGGAAGTGCTGACTCTCTGCTCCCAACTCTCAGGCCCTCTGGAGTTCCGGCAGTTTGAGCACGGAGAGGCCACCCGGAGCTATTTGGTCAAGTTTGGGGATCGTTTGCTGGTGCTGAAGAAGGAGGAGGAGCCTCCTGACAGCCCCAGCCCCTCAGGCCCTTCTGTCCCAAGGGAATACAGGTGAGAGGCAGCTGTGCCCCACATGGGAGGGGTCATGCTGCAAAGTGTGCTCGGCACCAGAGCTGCAGGACTTTTTTTTTTTTGGGGGGGGGGGGGATCATTTGTGATCTCCCCTTGTTTTTCAGTGTTGGACAAATCCCAGGACTCTGGGCCATGTGAAGATTTGGGTGCTCTTCTTTCACCCACTCCAACCATGTTACTGTAGCGTGTTTACCACTGAGCACAGGACTCTGATATGTGTGTGTCTGCCTGCAAGGATGTGTTCCAGTATTGGTTCCCTCCTGCCTCTCTGTGCTGACCCAGCTCTCTGACTCCCCTGGCAGGCTCCTGAAGGCTCTCTCTGAGGCTGGTGTTCCTGTTCCCACTGTACTTGCTCTCTGCGAGGACAGCAGGTAAATCCTGGCCCAGGATCCTGTTGCTGATCCCAGCTTTTGCTCTGTGCTCGACAACTGCACCCAGATTCCCCCAAACACGAGGAGAGAAGGAGCCAGAGCTCACAGAGTGCACTGGTGTAATTAGTATTTGCCATGTCTGGGGCTGGAGGAGCCTCTAGAAGTTCAAAGGACAGAAACACTTTTATTTGGCTTGGTTTAGGTGTGTCCTGTTTCAGCAATTAATCAAAATGCTCCCTTTGAAAAGCAGCTGTAAAACAATGTTGTAGGGCTTCCTGCTGACTCAGTCTGTTCAGGTTTGCAATGAAGAGGGGGCTTTTTCAACTGCCAGACCTCAGACAGCCATGACAGCATCGAGTCTGTGAGCAGGACACCCCTCCTAGCCTGCAGGCAGCTCGGATCTCTGCCGGCTGCAGGAACAGCCTCTGCACTGCAGTTAAATGTGTGTCCAGCATTCCCGGTGTTTGTGTGCAGCCTGACAGCCCAGCTCCACACCCACTGCAGGGAGGCAGGGAAAAGGCTGCTGCTGGAGCCTCCAAGCTCAGCTTGCAGGGGCTGGAGGGACCAGTGCTGATGATGGCACAGCCCTGTGCCACCACTCACAAGCCTGGCTTGGGCTTGGGTGAGTGCTCGGGTGCTGCTGAGGCTGCTTTCCCCTGTCCACATTCAGGGGGCAGGTGAGCTCTGAAGGGTGGCAGTAGCAGGGTGAGCTCAGTCCCATCAGTCCCCCCTTGCCTCCCCAGCACCCTTGGCTCACCTTTCTTTGTGATGGAGCTCTGCCCTGGCTGTGTCCACCACGACGTGTTCCTGCCGGCGCTGCCGCCGCGCCAGCGCCGGGCCCGGTACCGCGCCATGAGCCACGTCCTTGCCAGGATCCACAGCGTGGAGCTTGGGACAGCCGGGCTGCAGGACCTCGGGGAGCACGGTGAGAGGAGGCCAGGGATCCTCCATCTCCTCCTGTGTGTCAGCATTTCAAGGGATGGGCTGGACAGGCCAAACTGCGGGCGGTGGGGAAAGGAAGATGGGCAGCCCAGTGTCTGCATCCCCGGGTGTGGTGGGGGGGTTTGGAGAGCTGGTTAGATCCTCCAGTCGGTGTTTCCTGTGAGGAGTTCCCAGAGCTTCCTGCCAGGAGCACCAGCTGCACTGTGGAGTAACTTATTTGTGGGAGGAACTTATTTGCTGCTGTTTCTGGTGGCGAAGTTACATTTTTGTCCAGGATCAGATTATTTCCACCAGAACATTAAATCCAGCGCCCAGTTAACGATGTACAAGACCCTTGGAAATTGCACTTAAACTCAGGGTGCTGGACTGAGATGTGCTTGGCTGTTGGACTGCATCCCTTTTGAAGCCTCTTTGTGCCGGTCCCTTTTCCCTGTTCCAGGTAATTACATTCAGCGGCAAGTTGAGACCTGGACAAAGCAGTACCGAGCTGTGGAAACTCACGCTATCCCAGCGATGGAGAGACTCATCCAGTGGCTACCTCTGCATTTCCCAGAGTCTCAGAAGACGACACTGGTACATGGGGATTTCAGGTACCGCCTTGGAGCACATCCCAGGAGTGTAAAGTGATACACAAACCAATTCAGAGCAGTCCAAGAGCTGGGCTCTGGGTCAGGCTCATCACCCCCCAGGGAATGAGATTCTTCCCCGAACTGCTGCAAACACTGGTGTAACACTGGAGGATCATCAACTGTGTCTGCAATACCCAGAAATCAGCCCAGGTGCTTCTTGCTAATGGTATTTAGTGCTGGAAGAGTTTGGGTGGCAAATCCTTCCAGTGTTACAGGTGTAGTCATGGAGAGGGGTGGCTGGGACAGAGGGGAGGGGTGCTGAGTGATGCCCCTGTTCTGCCAGCCCCTGGCTGGCTCCTGCCAGGGCTGTAGGGCTGCAGTGGAGGCGTGTGCCAGGTCTGGCCCAAGGCTCCTTCCACAAGGGTGCAGGAGCTCTCTGCCCCTGGAAGGGTGGCTGCCCACTCTGGCTGCTCCCTAGTGGGGTCCTGCCCTATCCTGGGGCTCAGACTGGTGAGGGCTGTGCAGAATCTACAGCACATGGCAGAGCAGGGGCTGCAGTGGATGTGTGCCTTTGAAGTGACCACAACATCCCCTGGACAGTGACTTGTGTGCTTCAGTTTATGATTAGCCTGTCCTGTAACATCTGCTGATGAGCTGAGGCTCTGACTAACTTGGTTTCATTCTCCAAAGCACAGTTCAGTTCATCATTAACCAGGGAGTTCACTATTGAGTAACCTCCGTCCTCTGCTTGCAGAAATGTAATGTTCCACTTGTGCAGCCTCCCAAAGGACTTGGCAATTTTTGAAGAGAGTGAAGAGCATTGGAAAGCATCTACTGCTGCTGAGCACTGGGATTTCCCCCCCCCCCCCTCTGGAGACTTTTCTGATCTCTTTTTCCCTCTGATACAGGATGGACCACCTGGTCTTTCATCCAGACAGGCCAGAAGTCCTTGCTGTCCTTGGCTGGAAGTTTGCAGCTCTAGGAGATCCCTTCTCTGATTTGGCGAATAGCTGCATGGCCCATTTCCTGCCACCTCACTTTAGTGCTCGCAGAGGTACAGAGAGGGGCAAAGGCAGCGTGACACAGAGAGAGGAGCAGAGCTCAGAACAGATGAGCTGTGCCCAAGGAGCTCAGCTGGCAGAGGCCTCGGGGTTTGCATTACTTGCCCTCTGGCCTCAGCTCTCAAGCTAGGCAACTCTTTTGGGTGGGAAAGCTGTGAACCACACCAGGGAAAGTTTGTTCACAATTGCACACTTGTTAAAAAGAGTAATTTAGGGTTAAACTGACAGGGAAACGCTTCCGTCGTTTAGGAGGAATCTCTGTCAGTCACGGCTTTCCCAGTCTCCCCCTCACCAAGAGAACTGCCCTGTGTGCACTCCACCTGCACGGGCTGGTGCCCAGCCCCAGAGTTCTGTATGGAGCCAGCCCCAGGGCAGGTCCTGGGTGGGTGCAGGTGCCTCCATGGAAGCTGCCTGGCTCTGCCACGAGCCTCATGGCATCCCTGGGGAGCTCTGAGCTCCTCGCTGTCAGCTGACTCACTGTCACCCCTTCACACCTTCCAGGCTTGAGGAAGTGCGATTTGGGGCAGCTGGGAGTTCCCACGGCAGAGGAATATTCCCAGACCTACTGCGGCCACATGGGAGTGGAGCTCCCGGAGAACTGGAATTTCTACATGGCCTTTGCGTTTTTCCGCCTGGCCGTGGCGCTGCAGGGACGGCACCGGCACTGGGCGGCAGGTGAGGAGCCCAACCGGGGCAGCTCTGCCCTGCTCAGGGCACACACCCAGCACGGGGCTGGGGAGAGCCCCTCCTCTGAGCCAGGGAGGTCACACCAGCAGGGTTTGGGCGCTCCGGGCTGGGAATCCCGAGAACTCTGAAATTCCAAGTGCTGCAGCAAAGCGTGGCGTGTCTGGCACTCTTGTGCTTCCAGCACAGAGCTCTTGTGGGAAATGAGGGCTCGGAATGAGAGATCTTGTTTCACTGAGGGGCGGCCTGGCAGCAGCCGTCCAGTGATGTGTGTTCTGGGAAGAGTGTCCTGCAAAGCACAGGGCTGCCTCCCTGCTCCAGCACAGTCTGCTCCTGTTTTTTTGGGTGGATCAGAGGTTGCCGTGGTGTCTCCTCTTTCTCAGTTGAGAGCCCAGAGCCGTGTCCTACAGGTGGAGCTCTCAGACCTTCAAACTCAGCATCCACCTCCTCCAAGGGCTCGGGAACAGGGAGGTGGTGGGAACCCTGGGTGCTGTTCATCTCCACACAGCAGGTGTGGCCTTGGATCCTTTAGTAGAGAAAACTGGGATGTTATTTTCACATCCCTTTGAGAGGCTTTTCTGGGCTGGCCCAGACGAGGGCACATGGTGCTGTTTAGGATGTGACCACGGAAGAAATGGCTCTTTGAAACAAGTCCTGCTCTCTTGTCCCCAGGGAGCCCAGCCCCAGGTGACAGCAGCCCTCAGGATGCAGAGTTTGTGGCTGAGCTGGCCTGGGAGTTTGCCACAAAGGAAGGATTCCGAGTGTTTGAGAGCCTCCCACCCACAAAGCTGCTCGCACGACATTCCAGCACCTGGGCCGGGCGAGGGCCATTTCCCAGCAGGAGTTACAGCACCTGGACAAGTCCTGTGCCCAAGGTTCTCCTGCTCACTCCTCCCACCAGCCTGCTGGGGATGGCCCAGGCTTTTCACTGCAAGCTGGAAAATACAGCAGGGCTTTCTCAGTTGCCAGCCCAGACGGACTCCACGTGCTCTGCCAGAACTGCAGGTGAGATCTTCCCCCCTGGAGCTGCTCTGCTGCACCTGCCCCAGGGTGGGGATCGTGGCCTCTGCCCTGGGTCTCCTGATCACATCAGAGGTTTGGCACTCACAGAATCCAGTGGCTTGGAGGAAGGGGGCTGGGTTCCCATGACTGTAACAGAGTTCATATCCTGAGAAACAGTGATTTCAGGAGCTGGAACTCCCTTCCAAGGGGAGAAGATTAATGCCAGCCCAGCTGTAATCACTGGTGCTGCTCCACCAAGTCCTGCCATCAGTGCTGATGGTGTGTGCAGAGCTTGGCTGGGCTTGGGCTTTTCCAACCTGCCAGTCCAGGGAGGAAATGGCTGCTCATTCCCCGTCCCTGTTCAGGGAGGCCTTGCTGCTGTCTCTCTGTGGGAAGGGGTGAGCTAATTCCCTTCACAGTGTCCCTCTGGTGCTTCCTTGGGAGGTCCCTCAGAGGGGCAGAGAGCTGCTTGTACCTCCACAACTCTCATTCAGTGTGAATGAAAGCAAACATCCCCACCCTTGGGCTGCCACTGAGATTATACTTTCAGTTATTCCAGTGGCATTATCAAATTCTAGTGGGTTACTTAATTGCCTTTTAGCTGCCAAAAACATATCCCATCTGTTGTTCTGCCCTTCCAAAGCATTTCCTTGTGCTCTGGCAGAAACCAGCAATCCTCAGCATTTCAGGGTGCTCGGCAGCTGATCTGCTGGGAAGCTGGGAAGGGCAGGGAAGCAGCAGCTCTGGGGAATTTGGGAGTGCTGGGATGAGCAGATCTCCTTACCTTTCTTAGAAGCACTCGGTTTTGCCAAGTCTCCAAACACCAGAGCTCTCTCTACTCCATGCCTGGGGCTTGTGGAGACACTGCTCCTTGTGTGTGGGACCACGGAGCCCCCTCATCCCTGCCCTCTCCCCATCCATCTCACTGCTTTTTTCCTTGGCATCGTCCCTGCACCGCCAGCCTTTGCTGTGGAAGCATGTTGTGAAAACCAGGGGAGGAGTCTTGCTGCCTGCAGCAGAAAGATAATGCAGACAAGGGTTAAACAGCCAAATATTCCTGGCCTGGAATTGCCACAGCGCTCCTGGGCTGGGCAAGGGCCAAGGGCACGGGCAAGGCTGTGCCAGCTGGCACTGCTGCGAGGGGTTTATTCCTGGGAGCTTGGCAGCCCTTGGCTGAGGCACTTCTGGCTAAACAGGGCAGGATCTCAGCTGATCCTGCCCCCATCCCACACCAGGGGCCAGCAGACTTTGCCTGCTGGTCCCAAAGGTTGCCCGTCCCCGCAGTTCTCCATGGAGATATGAAGATCCTCTCCAAAGGAGCTTAGTTACTCCCTCAGACTGGCTATCAGAGGGACAGCAGGGTCACCAGACCACCTAATGTGTCTTAATGCTAATGCTCTTGCCCCAGGCAGAGAGTGGCAGGACCAAAGCAGAGGCTCAGATAGCTGTACAGGCCATGGATCAGGGCAGCCAGGCACTGCAGCCCTTTCTGTGCCCAGCTGGGCTCTGATCTCACTCTCCCCCAGGTCTCTGGAGCAGAACATCTCCACAGTGCAGATCCCAGCCTGCTGCTTCCCTTGGACCTGAGCTTCACATCTGGCTGAGGGTCCCATGAGGGTCACAGTCCTTTGGAGCCTCGGCTGGGAAACTAAACCATCCAGCCTGGCACAGGAGAGGCCGTGCTAAGGGCAGCCTGTGAGCTTCCCTATTCCAGTGCTGCTTGCTGTTATCTGTGCTCAGTGCCTTTATTGCCCAGCTCAGTATGGGGCAAAATCCATCCTTGGACCACGAGGCTGCAGGGAGTCGGTCCTGCAGCAGGGAGACTTGGTCAGGAATGACCTGGCTGGGGATGCAAGACTTGGTTTTGGGAATAAAGAGAATGGATCAAGGTATCCCTCCTCCTTCAACACAACACCTCCAGCAACCTGCAGATGCTAAAAGACTCCTTGGGTGTGGAGGGACCTGAATCAGGTCCTCAAGGACTCTGGATTCAGGGGAGACTCTGGAGCTGAGGCAGTGTCTGGCCCCTGGAACTGGGAGGATTCCAGTGTCCCATGACTCCAGTGGGTCTCTCTGGGGATCAGGGAGGATGCAGTCTGGATGAATGGGGGATTTCAGTACTTCAGGGAGGCCAAAGCACAGGGAGAACAGTGGGAACAATCACAGTAATTCCAGGTTCTTTATGTGTGATATTAATTCAATATTAAAGTCATGGGCACAGTTCTTTGGATTCTCCAGCTCCTCCAGTGTGGGCACAGCCCCACAGCCCACTTCCACAAGGCCACATCCATCTGCCAGGGGTGGCTACCACACTCCTGCTCTCAGGGACACCAGGAGCACTTCAAGGAGCCCTGGGGTGGCCGTGCTGGCCATGGAGCACAGGGAAGCTGGTAACCTGAGAGCTTTGGAGTCTCCCAGGCTCTGGGGTGAAATTCCACCTCAACCTCAGGCACTTGGCTCTGCTGTGGAAGAAGCAGGGAGCCTGGATCTGAGCCTGGATCTGCCCAGCCCCGACACTTGGGATGGTTTCCAAGCAGGCACTTGACTTCTGCACCTCCAACCATCTCATCTTTCAGGCTCAATCGCAGCCCCTGCAGCGCTCAGAGCCGGGGCTGCCATCGAGGTGGGTCAGTGCTGCTGGGTCTGTCTGCCAAGCCCCAGGGGAGGGAAGGGGCTCAGGAGGAGCATTAACACAGGGCTAGTGCTCAGTGTCATCCATTTTCCACCCTGGGATCAGCAGGACACACATGGGGGCTTAGCCCTGAGCTGGAGCTCAGCTCTGTGACGTGCCCTGTGGATACACAGCCTGACCTGCTCCCTCTGGGAGACACAGGCACATCTCTGCTGGTAAAACAGGTCTGGCTGGCGTCTCCCACAGTGGTTTAACACGTGCAGGTCTGTAACAGCAGGGAGAACAAGTTGGAACAAGTGGTCCTCTTGAGTGCCATCTCCTAAAGGGCTGCCCGTGACCCGCTGCTGGAGCGGTGAAGGGAATCGGTCACCCTTCAGGGGATACAGGGGGACAGGGATGAGAGAGGAGATCCTGCCCAAGAGGATTTCTTTTCAGCTGATCCAGGATACACACAGCCTAATCTGAGTCCTGCTGGATAACCTTGGGCAGGCATTTTGCCTCGCTGGGCTGTGTGGTTCCTCACTGCACAGCAGGGCTGAGATGATTCCCCTCCCGAGGGAAATGCCTGGAGAGCTGCAGATGCAGGAACCTCCAGCAAGACTTTCAACACTCTGGGTCTTCCAGGACACTGGGGGAAACTATATCTGAACTGACACATTCCACAATTTTTGTGGCCCCTTTTATAAACCAGAGCCATCCCTGTGACCTTTCACAGACCCCTCACTGAAGAAGCCAAAAAAGTGCAGTCAGACACAGAGTGACACCACAGGTTTCTTTTGGAGGTTAAAAACTCTTGATGTTTTTGGTCTGTGGCTTCCTTAGTGATGGTGATAACATGAGCACACTCCTGTTCCCTGCACGTGAACCTGCACTTGGTAGGCTGAAGTTGCACAAGGCATCTTAAGCAAACAAGAAAAAAAGGCCTTCAGCCATTGTTAGGGGTGATTTTACAAAGTCTCTCATTTGTATGCACTGAGTAACAGTCCCTGTTGTGAAAGCATTGACTGTTCTTGTCCCACTGCCAGACACACAGGAGCTTCTCTTTAGGAATCCTGTGTGCATGGAAGGGGTGGCACATCCATGGTCCAGGTCCCCAACTTCTCCCTCATCACAGCACCCTCCCACAAAAGTATCCAGCACAAGGGAGATGTTTCTGTTTTTTTCTCTGCCCTTTTCCTAACTGTTTCCTACACTAAGTTCCCTGTGCAGGGACAGGGGCAGGGACAGGGGCAGTGCCGTGCTGGACACTGATACCAAACCAACCCCGATTTGAACTGAGCTGGGCTGAACTGACCCGAACGGTGCTGAGCCCAGCTGAGCCCAGCTGAGTCCCGCTGAGCCGTGCTAAGCCGATCCAAACGGGACCGTGCTGAGCCGAGCTGAGCCAAACTGCGCCGCCCGCACCGAGCTGGATCGAGACGATTCCACCCGAACCAAGTCCGTTCTAGGCAGCACCGCGCCGAGCCGAGCGGGACCCAGCCCCGTGGGCCGAGCCGTGCCGAGGTGGGCGGGGCGGGGCGGAGCGGGGCCGCCCCGAGGAGCGGGGCCCGGCCCGGCCCAGCTCAGCTCGGCTCAGCTCGGCTCGGCTCAGCTCAACATGCTGCAGGCGCTGGTGCGCAGCTCCCGGCTCTGCCCGGCCCAGCTCCGGGCGTCCTTCTCGGCCGCCTCCGCCTCCCCCATCCCGGCGCCCAACCCGCGCCCCGACATCGCCTGCAACAAGGTAGGGCCGCGCTGGGGCCGCGCCGGTCCCGGCTCCGCCGGGCTGGGCCGCCGGGTCCGGGGCTCCCGTGTCCGCCTGTGGGGCTGGGACATCCCACTGGAACGCTGGGACCGCAGATTTGGGCCCGAAGCCTGGTGCTGCGGGAAAATCCCACTGCGGGAAAAGCTCCCTGAGTGCCTTGTGGGGCTCAGGGTGTGTGTCCCGTCACCATCGGGCTCTGTCCCCATCCCCCGATGGGATCAGCAAAAACTCTGGGAATGGGAGTGAGGAGTGGGAGGTGCCTGGCTGGGTGCTGATTATCTGCAGAGATCAGACCCTTGTTCCAGCGCGAACGCTGTGGGATCACCTGTGCGGGGTGCTGGGAAGGCAGCATTCCTCTCCCAAGGAATTCCACTCCTTCCCGGTGGCCGTGGCCAGGCTGGCGGGGGCTGGCCGAGTGCTCGGCGAGTTCTGGGCGAGCACCACGATCTTGGCGCTCGCAGTCCTGCTGTGGACCTGGGAAAACAAATTCACCCTTTGAAAGAAAGAAAGAATTGGTGAAAAGCTGTTGTTGGCACCTGGTTCTGCTTCAGAACAGTGCATGGGAGCCTAAAATCAGTTAATCTGGGAAATGATAGAATCATTTAAGTTGGAAAAGACCCTTAGGACTGTAATAAATGCTGTAAAAGCTCTAATGCTCTGTATGAAATCAAGTAACTGTATGTCTGTGCCTAAAGCATTTTCCCACTGCTCGATCTGCTGAGTTTCCCAGTATCCCTGCAAGGTTTTCACAAGATGGGAATTGCTTCCAATTCTCGTGCTGTTTGCTGAGCTGTGAATTCTTCGATTAACTTGAGGCTGTGCCTTTTGTTGTGTGCTTTTAGGCTAAAATATCTCCTTCATATTGATGCAGGTTGGGAGCCCACACAAGTCAAGTTAAGCCCTTTTAATTAAAGCCTCCTCAGCTGCCATCAAACAAAGCTCCCCCAGATTTCGCCGGGCTCTGGCTCCAAGGCTTAGCTCTGCTCGGCTTTTCCTTTGCAGATTTTCATAAATAACGAATGGCACGATGCTGTCAGCAAGAAAACCTTCCCCACCATCAACCCAGCCACGGGGGAAGTCATCTGCCAGGTGGCTGAGGGCGATAAGGTGAGTTGTGGTTTGGGTGAGATGGGTTTGTTCTCCGTGGGAGCAGGTCCAGGGGGGTTGCAGAGGAAGGCACCGCCTCCCCTCTCACCTGGGCAGCTCCACGAGGGCTCTGCATGCAAATACCTCATCAAGTGCTGCTTGTCTTCTTCCTTGGCTGTTGCTCTCAACAGAATCTGGATTTGCCTTTCCCAGCACCAAGCCAGGACTGGGAAGGGCAGAGAGGAACAGATGTGGTGTGCAGTGGAGCCAGAGTTGGGAGGTTTGGGAGCAGTCCTGGGAGGGGCAGGGATGAAGGTAGACACCTCTGTGGTCCTGTGGGTGCTGTGCTGGCAGTGTGACACAGTCACGGGGAGAGAGGACACAGAAGGTCAGGATTCGCCTCACAGCCCCTTTCTGCTGCAGTGGGAGACCAATCCCAGCCCCAGGAAATTAAAAAATTTAAAAAAAGAACTGGTGGGGAATAGTCACGTAGTCATCCCTTGCTAAGAGTTTGTGGCAGAGCTGAGGTGGTGTTTCCCAGCAATTTTGGGTTCTTCCTACAGTCTGGAAAGTTGTTTGAGTTCCCCAAGGGAGAGGTGAGTGAGAGAAACCCTTTGTTGTTGCTTCTTCGTGGCAGCCTGGCTTGTCCTGGCGAGACCATTCCAGCAAGCCAGGACAGAGAACCAACCAGAAACCAATTAGTGCCCTGACAGGACAAAATCATGGATCAGAGATCTCTGATTGAGGAAAAACTCCTCTAGACTGAATCCTGAAGAGTGTCAAAAGCACACTTCCAAAGCTTTTTCCATGCCTGGTTCTAGGATGCAAATATTAACCCAGCAGGTGACACTGAAGAAATAACTTGATGTTTGCACTGCCCATAGCTGAACTAACAGAGTGTGTGTGAGGGTGGAGGTGGTGGCTGCACAGCTGTTGCACCCTCTGCTCCACTACCAATCCTGTTCCCTCCTCCCCATGGATGCAGACTGGCTGGGAAAGCTGTGTGGGCTCCAGTGCAGTGTTTGTGCTGAGGCTGTGCCGCTGCAGCACTGCCTGGGCTGGTGGTCCCAGGGCACACCCAGGGGCTGTGGCCCACCTGCTGATGGGTTTCTTGCAGTGGGTTAGCCACCAAAGCTGCAGGTTCTTGTCCCCAGAAAGCCTGGCACAAGCAGCCACTCTGGCTGGGGGTTGTTTTCTCCTGGAGAGTAGGTTCTGAGAGAGAGAGAGAGAGAGAAAGAGTGTTTGTGGGCTGGTTATTCCTTTCTCACCCTCTCCCCGGCCTCCTCCGCAGGCAGATGTGGACAAGGCGGTGAAGGCAGCCAAGGCAGC